GCTCCCTGGGTGGGCCAGATGGGAAGCACTCCCTTGTCACAGAGAGCTTGGCTAGAGGCTAGCAGCACTTTGACTTGAGGTGTGTGATGATTCCCAAGGGACCTAGGGAACTTTCTGGATGTGCATTATTGCAGAGAGACCCATCCTGGCTGCCCTTCCACCCCCAGATCCTAGGGTACCAGTGAGCCTCCAGAACCCACCTCCACCCCAGGACAGGCTCTTCTTGCCACCCAACCTCCTAAACTCACCTCATTCTCTGAGGAAGAGCCCACCACATACAGGAAGAGGTCAGTGCTGCTCTTGTAGACGATAGTCATGCCCCCCAAAAATGCGATCTCACCTAGAAGGAGGAAGGCTCTCAAATCAGCACACCCTCACCCCGGCCTGGGGCTAGCCTGGTCTCTGCTCCCCAAGCCTCTCCCTTCATTTCCTACTTCCTTTCCCACTACCAGGAGGCTACTCTGTGTTCTTGGTCCCATTCCATATGGCTTGAGAAGGCCTCCTGTTGAGGAGTCAACAAGCCCAGCTTAAGGCTGACCCACCCTCCATCCCATGCGATGCCCTAGGACCAGATTCAAGTGTGTGTAGGGGGCACATAGCATAGCTGGCCTCCTCAACGGGGAGGATGAGGCGGGGGAGGGGGCAGGAGTGATGGGGAGTAAAGGTTGAAAGATGAATGAAAGAAGGGAGTGGAAAGCAGCTGGGGAGGAGAAGACAAAGAGCCTCAGAAGAGAGGGAAATGGCCTGTGGGTGGGGAAGGTCAACACGGACAGATGTGTCCAGATGGGGAAGATGACAGACACTGGTGCTCAGTCATCTGAGAGTTCCAGCGGAGGATGGGCAGGCGTTACTTTCAGTGCGGCTGGTCTTGTTGAAGACATTTTTCTCGAAAACCATCTGCTCCTTCATGGAGGGAAATGTGTCATCATAATACTGTGAGAAAGAAAGGAGAGGCAATAGCCATTGCTTAGAGCCAGCCCTGGCCTTGGGACCCGGATGGCTGAGCTGGACCTCCTTGTCACCTCCCTCCAGGCTCTGTCTGCTCCCTGGTCTCCATAAACAAATTCCAAGCAAAGAAAATCAAAGCAAAGAAACACTGAGAATGTTTGGGGTCTCCATTTGGGTATCTCCTTCCTTTCTTCCCTCCCTTCCTCCCTCCCTTTCTCCCTTTCCCTTTCTCCCTCCCTTTCTCTCCACCTCCCTCTCTCCCTTTCTTCCTTCCTCTTGTAATTCTTTCTTTGCAGCAGTGCCGGAGGGCTTGCAAACTGGGACTTCACAGCTGATTAAAAAAGTTCTCTACCACTGACCTGTCTCCCAGCTTCTTTTCTCTTTTCCAGTTCATTTCCTTCCTTGAGGTGCTGGGGATGGCACCAGGACCTTAGGCACGCTAGACAAGTGCTTCGCCTGCTGCTAACCTCCATTCTCTAGCCCCTGTCTCGATTATTTTATTTTATTTTTGAGACAGGATCTCCACCCAGCTGGCCTGGAATGGTCTATGTAGACCAAGATATCCTCAATTCTCAATTTCCTTCCTTCTTACCTTCTTTCTTTTTTCTTTCCTTCCTCTTTCTTTCTTTCCTTCCTTCCTTCCTTCCTTCCTTCCTTCCTTCCTTCCTTCCTTCCTTCCTTCCCTCAGACAAGACTTCTCTGTGTAGCCCTGGCTGTCCTGGAGCTCACTCTGTAGACCAGGCTAGCCTTGAAAGGAAATCCACCTGCCTCCACCTCCCAGAGGTACGATTAAAAGGCATGTATCACCACCGCTTTATCTTCAATTTCTTAGTATATAACGAGGGTAGGAGCTTCCAGGAGGAGGCCCCAGAAGCTCTGGCAATGCCATCCACCTCTGCCCATCTGCTGAAGCAAGGCGTGGTCAGCTCAATTTTCTGCATGCGAGTTTTGCATTCGGTAGTCAACTCTGCAGGCCAGCTGATCGTCTCAGTCGCTCTGCTGTCTCCACCACAGTGAACAAGCTCCTCTGAATGCTGTGAGCACTAAGTTTCAGCTCCAACAAGTAGAAAGGCTCTAACAGATTTAATAGCTGACTTAGATCTTACAGCTCGTATAGCTGGGTGTGGTGTCATATGCCTGGAATCCCAGCACTTGGGAGAAAGAAGCAGGGAGATTAGGAGTTCCAGGCCGGCCTTGACTATATGAGACCCTGTCTAAAAAAAGAAAAAAAAAGGCTGGCTCACACATGTAATCTTAGCACTTGGGAGGCAGGATCACTGTGACTTCCAGGCTAGCCTGAGCTACACAGTAAGTTCCAGGCCAGCCTTGGTTATAGAGTGAGTCCTTATTTTCAAAAAAAGAAATAAACAAAAATAATTAGGGGCTGATTGTGATGATATTCTTTAGTCCCAGCACTCGGGAGGCAGAGGCTGGCAGATCTCTGAGTTCTAGGCTAGCCTGGTCTACAGAGTGAGTTCCAAGATGGCCAGGACTACACAGAGAAACCCTGTCTCAAAAAAAAGAGAGAGTTAAGAAAAGAAAGAAAAAGAAAAATAGACAAACAAAAAAGTTAGAGCAAGGCATTCCATGCTTGCCTGTGATCTCAGTACCCAAGAGGCAGAAGCAGGAAAAGCAGAAGTTTGAGGCCAACCTGGTCCACAACACAACAAGACAAAGTAATTTTCTGCTACAGAAATATATTTCTGCTACAGTTAATTACATCAGTGACAGGAGAGCATTATTTATTTATATCTAGCGGGTTTTGTGGCTTTTATTTTTTTAAGATTTATTTGTTTATTATGTATACAATGTTCTGTCTGCATGTACACCTGCAGTCCAGAAGAGGGCATCCGATCTCATTATAGATGGTTGTGAGCCACCATGTGGTTGCTGGGAATTGAACTCAGGACCTCCAGAAGAGCAGTCAGTGCTCTCAATCTCTGAGCCATCTCTCCAGGCCCTTGTGTTTGCTTTTTAAATAGGTATCGTATGTATCCCCAGCTGTCGTGTCCCTATGTGGACAAGGCTGGCCTCAGATTCAGAGGTTCATCTGCCTCTGTCTCCTGAGTGCCAGGTTAAAAGCATGCACCACTGTCTGGCCTTCAGTGCGGCAGGAATTTAGGGCGCCACAGATTTTTCTTTCTACATTTTTGTTTTGTTCTGTTTTTTTCGAGACAGGGTTTCTCTGTGTAGCCCTGGCTGCCCTGGAACTCTATTTGTAGACCAGGCTGGCCTCGGACTCACAGAAATCCTCCTGTCTCTGCCTTCCCTCCCAAATGCTGGGATTAAAGGTGTCGGCCACTACACCTAACTTTTTAACATTTATTTATTTAGGGTGTATGCGTTGGGGGAGGCAAGTTTGGAGGCCAAAGGACAAGGTGAGGGGACCTGTCCCCTCTTTTCACCATGTGAATTCAGAGTCCAACTCAAGCTGCTACGCATGGAGGCAAGCACCCTGGTCTTCCCTGAGACTTAGCTTCAGATTTAGTTTTAGCTCATCTCACCCGGGCCACGCAGGACGGATGCCAAACAACTGAAAAGGAGTTCGAGGAAAACCACCTGGAGCCCCAGATCTAAACCCTGAGTCTGTGTTCGCGGTGAGACTAACCCCTTGACCCCAGGAAACCTAGTTAAGCTTCTCCACACTTTATCTTCTGCATCTCTGAAGGACTACAAGAGCAGGACTACAAGGCCTCCCGAACCCCACCCGACTCTAAATCACTGTGCTAAGTCCTTTACGTTTACCAAGCTAAAACACAAAAGCACACAGGTCGCTTTTGTATTTAGGGACTCTGGATTCCTAGGTCCCAGGCTCAGCTCTCCACTGATCCCTTTGGTGGAGCAGCTCACACCCAGGGTGCAGCTGGGCAGAGCAAGGACAGGGAGAAGACACGTCAGGAAACATGAGTAGAGACAGCAGGGACTCCCCTGACCCACCCGCCCGCCAGGCGCCCTTAGATTGATAAGGTATAGCGTGGACAAACTGATTTCTTCTATAGAACCTAGGCGGGGCTGCTCTGCCATCCAGAAGGCAGAGTTTCTTCTATAGGAGTCAAATGGGCTGGGTGGGGACCGCTTTTCTTGGACGTGTGTCACTGTCTTCAGGGTTCTTGCGGTGAGGGCTTACCTTGGCCAACAGCCTTCTCCCGTCATTATCTAGGATGAAGACAGCCTTGACGGTGTAGAGAGAAGGTTCCTGAAACTGACACGGGGAAGGAACTCCTGACTCCAAGCGGCTCTAGGGAGCCAGCTAACCTCCAACCCACAGCTGGTTCCAGCCCAACCCCATGCCACATGGACCGTTTCCGGTGCCCACTCCACTCCCAGGCAGGTCCACCGCAGGTCCGAGGAGCGGCCGCTGAGTCCGCTGGGTGCAGAAAGTCCTACCGGACCCAAGTTCTGTCATGCACTGACTGCTCCAGAGCCCGAGTCGGAGTGTATCACAGAACCTGGGCCCAGGGAACAGCGGCGCCGAGAGCCTCCACACGTCCAGCTGACCCCCAGCTCCAGCAGCGCGGCCATCACCCCGGGGCAAGGGGGCCCAACCAGACCACCTCGCCACTCCCACTCCCCCCTCGTCCCGCCAGCCCTCCACCCCCATCCCCGCCGCCCCAGCCAGTCCCCATCACTGCCGCAAGTTCCCCAGAACTTCAGCTCCCTCCCCCCACCCCGAAGTTCTCCACTCGGGCCAGGCCTCCTCGCTCCTGCGCTCCAGGACGAACTTTTTCTCCCCTCCCTGGGCCCGGACTCCCTCTCGGCAGGGACGGTGCAAAGTTCCCAGCGCGGGAGCCCTAGGCAAATCGGCTGTCGTTTCCCCCCCACCCCCCACCCCCTTCCCAGTCCTGCCGCCCCGGGGACCCCGCACTCCGTGCTCCGTACCCGCGGCTCCGCGGCTCGGGTGGGCGGCGCTGCGCCCCCCGCTTGGGCGGCCGAGGCCCCCTCCCCCGGGTGAGGACGTGGCCAGGCCTCCGGCCGCTGCATTCCGCTCGCTGCCTGCACTGACAGCGCCGCCCCGCCCCGCGTCCGCCCCCCACCGCGACGCGGCCCCTCCGCCCAGTCCTGCGTGGCTGGCCCCGGGACGCGGCCCCCTCTGCCGGGCCGAGCTTTGCGTGGCCCGGCCCCCACGCCGCAGGACCTCCTCTCCCCACCCGGCCCCTCTCCCCGCTCTCTGCCTCTTCTGGCCTGGCGGGGGGTGGGGTGGGGGAGCTAGAGGTCTCCACGTGGCTGAGCCTGAACGTCAGGTAAGGCTCACTGTTTGCTCAGGACATCTTATGTCGAGTCTCCCTTTTGGACCTCAGGACAGGGCCGGTCAGTGAGACCAGGTGGAGCCCCCTCGGTGGAGAAGAGTCCTCCCCTTCCTCTCAAGCTACTTGGGAAAAAGAATCCTGGGCTGAAGGACACCTTCCTCCAGACTTTTTCAGGACCCAGAGGTGGGTAAGGCGAGTAGCACACATCTGTGATGCAGCCTGAGCCCCTGGACCATGCCGGTCAGAGTGCTTGGGCGGTGAAGTGCTTGGGCGGCCATTCAGAACACCAACAGGTGTGGCGTGGCTTTTCCAGCAAGTGCTCGCACTGTGTGTCAAAAGTCGTGCCTGGGAAGGAGGTGTTCTGACATACCGATTGAGGAGAGTCAGGCTTCCTGTGACCTTTTCAAGCTGATTGAGCCGGTCCCCAGGCTTTGGACAGGAGAGGTTTTCCTCATTCTGCCCTTCAGGGCCTCAGAGTAGACTGTCGTAGTGGCACATCTCAGAGAGTTCACACGGGCTTCCTCCCACTGACGACATCAAGCCTTCCTCTTTCCAACTCTCACCAAGACAGGCTGTCTCTGTGTAGCCTTGGCTGTCCTGGACTTGCTTTGTAGACCAGGCTGGCCTCGAACTCACAGCGATCCTACTGCCTCTGCCTCCCTCAGTGCTGAGATTACAAGCATGTGCCACCGTGCCCGGCTCAACTTTCACCTTTTATGTTTTTAAAATGTACACTTACTGTTCCATTGATTGATTGATTGATTGATTGATTGATTGATGGGGGAGGGGTGCCACAGCACTCATGTGGGACTCAGAGCATCAGTTCTCTCCTTCTAGGTCCTGGGGGTTGGATATTTAAGTTGTCAGGCTTGGTGGCAAGCGTCTTCACCCACTGAGCCATCTTACTGGCCCGAAAGTTTCTTCTTAAATATCCTCCTCATCAAGGGGGCTGGAGAGACGGCTCAATAGTCAAGAGTATTCGCTGCTCCTGCAGGAGACCCAAGCTCAGATCCCACACACGCATCAGGTGGCTCACAACCACCAGGTTCTGGGTGGGGATCTGACACCCCTTTCTGTCTTCCACTGGCCTTGCATACATGCGGTACACATACAGACAAGAAAGCACACGCAAAAATACATACATACATATACTTTGCCGGGTATGGTAGTGCATACTTTTAATTCCAGCACTTAGGAGGCAGAAGCAGGTGTACTTCCGTGAATCTGAGCCCAGCCTGGTCTCCATAGCAAGTTCTAGGCCACCTAGGGCTGCATAGGGAGAGCCTGTCTCAGTCATCATCATCATCATCATCATCTGGATGTGGCTCACCCCTTTAGTCCCAACACTTGGGAGGCTGAGGCAGGCTAGCTAGGTCTACAGAGTGAGATCCAGGCAGCTAGGGCTACACCAAGAAACCCAGTCTCCAAAAACCAAATAATAATAGCAATAGGAGTGGTAGTAATAATGAAATTCCTCATCAAAACGCTCCTCTGCTAGTTCACTCTGTCTTGCCTGCTGCAGACCATATCAACACTCTCTTTCCGGCCTGAATTTGAGTCCCAGAATCGACATGGTAGGAGGAAGAATCCATAATTAATCTCCTTTGACTTCTTTAAAAAAAAATACATAAATTATTTTTAATTCGTCTTCACTAGTGTTTTGTCTGCATGTATGTCTGTGCCAGCAGGGGACACCAGATCTCACGATAGATGGTTGTGAGCCACCATGTGGTTGCTGGGAATTGAACTCAGGACCTTTAGGAAGAACAGCCAGTGAGTGCTCTTAACCCCTGAGCCATCTCTCCAGCCCCTTCTTTTTATTTTTCGAGACAGGGTTTCTCTGTGTAGCCTTAGCAAGTCCTGGAACTTGCCTTGTAGACCAGGCTGACCTCAAACTCAGGGAGATCCGCCTTCTCTGCCTCCTGAGTGCTGGGATTGAAGATGTGTCTCACCACAGCCGGGTCCTGACTTTTATCTTTAAGCTGAGGTGTGCACACACAAATGGACCTACACAATAAATAAATGTAAAATAGCCCAACTAAACAAACAAGCAAGACTTGAGCAAGAGCAGAACAAAGTCATAGAGTGAGCCAGGAAGACATCTGAGTAACTGCCCACTGATTTACTGAACCTCTTTTCCTTGCAGGCTTGCAGTGTTGTAATTTTGAGTATGGTCCTGCAACGTGTGTGTGTGTGTGTGTGTGTGTGTGTGTGTGTGTGTGTGTGTGTTGGGAGCCCAGTATCTGGGCATTTTGTCGGGAGTCTAAATCATAAGAAGTTATATTAATGGTCACGCTGGTTGGACATATTATACAATTGATTGGGATTTTTTTGCGGGCTGCAGATATTCAGGCTGAGCGTGTTTACCCCAAAGCAGCCCATGATCTTTTAAAACAAGAAGAGGGATTGGCTGGGAGAAGCTGGCAAGAAGAAGCCCCCTCCTCCAGTTACTCAAAGAGTCCGTGGAGGGCACCCATCTAGAAAAGAAATGCCCCATTCACTGGTACTGTCTCCACCACGTGAGGATGGACACCGGTGCAGCGACCAAGCTGAGGATGAAGAGGACCATTGTCACCCACGGGGACTCTCCCTGCTACGTCTCTACTACAATTGCTTTGAAAAAGCACACACATCTGTGCCTCTGTCCCCTGCTTCAGAGGCCTGCAGATAGATAACGTCATTACCGTGGGTGAGTGCAGGCCCCAGAGCAAGACAGTACAGTTCAGTGTGCTCAAGGGCACCAAGGCGGCCAGCACCCAGCTGCAGTTCCAGAAGTTTGGAGAGAATGCGAGCTGACTCCCCAAACAAAGAGGAGCTAGTTTACAACTTCAAAACAAAACAAAACATACAAATAAACAAACAAAAAAAGATTTGACTCTTTCAGTGCCTTGATATTTTGGGGACATGGTATGTATGTATGTATGTATTTATTTATTTATTTTAGCTCATTTATATAAGAACAGCACCAAAAAAACCTCCTTGGGTCATTTCCTAGCCTCTGTTTGGTTTGTGGTACCCACACTGGGAGAAAGTCAGTCTTCCAAAGAAGGGACAGAAGACCTGGGGAGATAGAAGCCTGAGAGAGCTAGGGTGGCCCCATGGGGGCAATGAGGAAGGCACTAGGCAGAGAGGGAGTGAGAATGGCCAGGAAGGAATCTCAGGATCTGTGGACCCCCTTCACTTCACCAGCTCCACCTCTGTGGCTGCTAGTCTCAAAATCAGCAGGACCGCTTCACATCTTAAGTTCAGTGATGAGTCAGTAAGTTCAGAACCTTCAAATTAAACCTTCTAAGAATTAGATGTTGCGGCTGGAGAGATGGCTCAGTGGTTAAGAGCGCTGGCTGCTCTTTCGGAGGACTAGGGTTCAGTTCCTAGAACCCATGTGGCAGCTCACAAGTGTCTGTAGCTCCAGTACCAGGGGATCCAGTGCTGCCATCTGTCTTCTGTGGGCACAGGAAGTCCGTGGTGCACAAGCATTTATGCAGGCAAAACACTGCTACATATAAAATAAAGAAAAGATAATTTTAGAAAGTGAGATGGTGGGGGCCCTGGTGGCACACCCCTGTAACCCCAGCACTCTGGGAGGCAGAGGCAGATGGATTGCTGTGAGTTCGAGGCCAGCCTGGTCTACAAAGTGAGTTCAGGACAACCAGGCTATATAAAGGAAAAAAAAAAAAAAAAGACATGTTCTTCAATGGCAGCTCCTCCCAAGCCCTCAACAGAACCCCCGGGATCCTCCCAACCACCTCTCAGGAATGGTTACTCTAAGTGACGGTGCCGAGAAACTACCAAACTAGACCGCTTCACAGGCAGAAAGAAAGATTTCTTAGAAATCGAACTGTCAAGGCCATCTCTTGACAGGAGGGGGGGCACGGAGAGAAAAACAAAATGGTAGAAGCCCAAGAAGGTTTTATGTGACAGTCAGCAGGGTAGGGATCAGAGCTGACAGAAGCTGTTTGATTGGTCAGGAGCTAGGTACCCTTCCAGAAGTAGCTGACCTTTGGGGGAAGGTTATGGGAGGTTCCCAGGGAACGGAAATCGCCCTTCTGAGATCTCCTTTTCTAGAGAACAGAAGCCTTCAGGCTTGTTCACTCAGTAACCGTCCTTCTGTTTACTGGGCCGGAGTCCTTCTATGTAGGACAGTGTCACCAGCCATTTGGGGGAAAGGAGGACTTTGGACCTGACAGTTATACCTTAAGCAAGCTTCCAGGTAAACACTGATCGGGCTCTCCAGTGGAAGTGACGTCGGTCGGGCAGTCTCCTTGGCAAAGGATCAGCCGGAGAAGACTTTCCAGTTCGTAGCCGGCTCTGGAGGAGCTCACAGGTGCAACAACAGACAAATTGGCTTGGGTAGTCTGCCCAGAGTAGAGGAGCCATGGCGGTGTTTAAAACCAGTCAGCAAAGAACTTGCCTTCACAAGCCTTAGGCCCGAGGTCAGTCCTTAGACCCACGTGAAAATGCCAGGCCTGGGCCTGGGCCTGGGCCACGCTCTGGAGACAGACGGACGAGGTTCTCTAGGGCTTGCAACCACACTAGTTTCATTGGGAGCTCCCGACCAGTAAGAGACCCAGTATCAAAACAGGTGGGCCGCATTCTTGGAGATGAGGCCTGAGCTTGTCCCCCTGCCCTCCACCCGTGTGCACACACATGAACGAGCGCACCCTTGCCTCACAAATCACAGGGCAGAGAACTAGGGGTAGTGGTGCGTGCCTGTAACCTTAGCCTCTCAAAAGGATGAGGCAGGAGGATTGCACGTTTGAGGATGACCTGGATGCTTGGGGAAACTCTGCCTCGAAAGACAAATCAAGGGCCAGGCTTGGTGGTGCACGCCTGTAATCTCAGCACTCATGGAGGTAGAGACAGTCGGATCTCTGTGAGTTTGAGGCCAGCCTGGTCTACAGAGTGAGTTCCAGAACAGCCAGAACGGCACACTGTCTAAAAAAAACAAACAAAACCACAAAACAACAATAAAATAATAATAAAATGAAAACAGAGGCTGAAGAGATGCTTCATTAGCTTACTGGTTAGGAGAGCTTGCTTCAAACCTGGAGAGGTGGTGGTGCACCCCTTTAATCCCAGCACTTGGGGGAGGCAGAGGCATGTGGATCTCTCTGAGTTTGAGGCCAGCCTGGTTTACAGAATGAGTTCCAGGACATCCATGGCTACACAGAAAAAAACCTGTTTTGAAAAAAAAAAATCAAAGAAGAAAGAAAGAAAGAAAGAAAGAAAGAAAGAAAGAAAGAAAGAAAGAAAGAGGAAGGAAGGAAAAAAGAAAGAAAGAAAGAAAGAAAGAAAGAAAAAGAAAGAAAGAAAAAGAAAGAAGAGAGAATGCTTGACTCTCTTTGACTGCACCTGAGTTTAATATGCAGCATGGAAATCAGGAAGTTCACAGCCTCCTGTAACTCTAGTTGCAGAGACTCCAAAGCCTTCTGTCTGGCCCCCACAAGCATTGCATACATGTGACATTCATACACACACACACACATAAAAAATCAAAATAAATCCTTAAAAGCAAAACCAACATATAGTCTTTGGGGCTCTCTTTCCTCTGCTTCCTCCACGATTGTGTGATGGGTACCTCTCTAGGAGTCCATGCCGAAGCTGCGCTCATGACTGTTCTTTTTCTTTTGGAGCCCCTGGGGTCAGGCATTTCCAGTGAGGCTCTCCTGTGGGCCCTGGTATTTCTTGGAGAGGAGATCATCTCATTTCCTCTGACTCACCTCCTGCTGCTGCCATGTCTGTGCTGTCTGTCCTGGGATTTCAGCATCTGTTCCTGTGTGACAAGAAGAAACAGCTCTGTCTCTCAGGCACCAGCCCCAATCCTTCCTGCTGTAATGCCGAGGGGGGGGAGGGGCGTATGTTTCAGAATATGAGACCCGCCTATGTTGTGCCAGACACACGACGCAGAAAACGGAAGCGTCTCTGCCCTGTCTGCAGGATGGGCTTCCACAGACCATCCTGGGGACACCTCTCACTTCTTCAATTTCTCCGAGACAAAGCTGCAGAGTGGGTGGAGAGGTGGAGAGAGCCAAGAAAGGAAGCCTGGCATGGTGGCGCGTGTCTGTATTCCCCCATTCGGGAGGCAGAGGCAGGAACAGCAGGAGCTAAAGTCACCTTGACTACTTAGCAAGCTTGAGGCCATCCTCATTTACACGAGATCTTGTCTCAAAATAAATAAATAAATCTTATGCTCAGCTCCACCTCATTCGTGAATGGCTTCACATACATAGTCTGACTTTCTTCTTCCTCCTCCTCCTCCTCCTCCTTCTTCTTCGTTTTGAGACAGTGTCTTGCTGCATAGCCTTGGTAGGCCTGGAACTCACGGTACAGTTCTGTCTAGCCTTGAACTCATAGTAGTTCTCCTGCATCAACTTCCCAAGTGCTAGGAATACTGGTGGGCACCTGCATGCCTGGCTGTAATCTGCGTTTTAAGATTTGTAAGTATGTTGTTGCCTTCATTTAGCTAAGGCTAGACCAAGCGGTAAATGACAAAGCTGGAATTTTAGACCCATCTAAATCTAAACCGCCCACTCTGCTCACCTTGCAACTCACCTGCCTGAGGGTGACATGTCAATCCGAGAACTACACGACAAAACATTGCCCAATTTTGTTTGGGGCGATTCTGGGAGACCTATGGGACAAGTTGAACTCAGCTTCAAAAAATGTTCTGCAGAGATGTGAATGAACAATGGGGTGTTTTCACTGTGGAGGTCAAGAAGAGCACGCCCTGAAGTAGGAGGATGATTCTGGTCTGGGCGTTAGCACTAATGTGGGTTTCATCCTACCTGGATTCTTGCTCCAAGCTAGTGATGTATTCCCTACTCTGTCTACACATTAGCATCACCGGAGGCCATTTTTACAAAATGCAGGGGATGGGGAGCAGATCTCATCCGTCTGGGGTGGGACTGGGTCACTGCTCCCTAGGTGGCTCTTGTGCAGCCAAGGTTGAGGAGAAGCACTGCGGTAATGGAGGGGGAAGGGGCTGGCAGCAAGCTGAGGAGGAGGCATGCCTCTTCTGATGGGTTGATGGGGGCGCAGGATGATTACCACAAAAGAAAAGAGACCAGATGTCTGAAGTAGCTGGAAAGCCAATTGATTTCCTTTGCGAGGCGCATGTGTTAACGTTTTTAGTATTGACAGGATATACCTCTAGAATCTCTCAGGAGGCCTGTAGGAAAGCAATCCCAGGCAGTCCTATCTGGCCCATTCTTCTGGATTGCATAGTGCTGGAGAGGGAGAGACCCTTCTATAGATGGATTTTGTTGTTGTTGTTGTTTTGTTTTGTTTTTGTTTTAAGACAGGTCTCATGACACTCTCCCCGGCTAGGCCTCAGATTCTCTTCACACTTGCTAGGTAAGAAGGGTGGCCTTGAACTCCTGACCTTTCTGCTTTCACCTCCAGAATGCTAGGATTAGAAGACATGGACCACCACATCTGGCTACTTTTTCTTTCTAATGCGGGGTCTCACCCCATACCCTAGGCTTGCCCCACTGCCCTCAGTCCTCTCGTTCCGTCCTCCTGAGGGTAGGGATTATAGGTGTCTATCACCATACCCAGCTAAACAATTTTGTTGTGTTTTGAGATAAGGTAGCTCCAGCTGGCCTGGAACTCACAGAGATTTGACTGCTCTGTCTCCACGTGCTGGGCCGGGCCTCCAAGGGCATGGCCCCACCCCACACCCAGCCATTCAGATATTTTTAAAAGAACGGAAGATAGTAGACAACTAGAGACGCAGCACGAGAGGACAAAGCAGTTTCCAGAGTTTTTGGTGTGGGTTCCAGTCATTCTCACGGCTCCTTCTCTGAGGACTTCCTGGCTGGCCTCAGCCTTCAGGTACGATAAGAGGGCAGAGATGCCTACAGAAGCAGCT